TTGTTCTTTCTACAAGGAATTCAGACATAGATAGTGACAAAGGAGAGATGAACAGTGGATCATGGTCCATTGTAAGCTCTCTACATGTCACTGGCTAGTGCTTCTTACCATCATTTAAAAGGATAAGCACCGTAAGGTGGGGTAGCGTGGGGTGGGGGTGTTGGGGGGGTGAGGGGTGAGGCATAGGTATAGTTGTTGTTTTTGCTACTGGAACTTGTCAGAGAGCACTAAAGATTAAACAAGTGGCCATAGTGATAAAAAACTGTCCCCTTTGAATTGCCATATGTAAACTAGTTCAAATATCTTTAACCATTAAATTAAAAAAAAAAAAAAAAAAAAAAAAAACGAGTCATGATTTTGAGCCCGAGAGAGATGAATTTGGAAGTGTTTAAGATTGATTTATGAAATTCAAAAATTATTTAATAAAGATGTTACTAATAAAGATGTTACTATGACTTACCGAAAAATAAAAAGAGTCTACTATAATAAAAAAAATACTTTCTAAGTTCAGTTTGGATGTTCACAAAAAAAATTACATAAAAAATATTTTTTTAATGAAAAATTCATCACAATATGATCAGTAAAAAACGTTTATGTGTACACAATTACTTATATTTATAATAATGCCAATACCCTCTATTGGTGATTGTGATGGTGGTAGTTATGTGTGTGTGTGTGTGTTTTGGGGGGAGGGGGGTGGCAATCGAAATGATGGTGGTGGTAGCGGTGAATCGGCGATGGCCAGTGACAAAAGTGGTGGGGTCGTGATAGTGGTAGTGGGATTAGGATGGTGATGGTGGTAATGGATGCAGAAGTGTTTTTTAAAAAGTAGAATTTTTTTCTTTTTTTCCGCTTCTACTTAATAACTTATTACATCAATTTTTTCATTGAAAGTGATTATGATAAGTTAAAAATCCAAAAATTCTCTTGTTAAATCATCCCAAATACCACCTTAGAGGAACATTTAATAAAGGAAAATATTACATAACTCAAATGAAATCCAAAAGTACATGGACTTAAAAAGTAGACTTAATAATCTCAACTATTTATTTTACTGTGGATCCCAACATTTATTGGGACTCACTACCTATTCAATGGTTAAGATTATCAAGTCTAATTTTTAAATCTAGTTTTTAAATCCATCTAACATTATTCAAAGTAAAAACTGAAATGCATATCATCCCTTGGATGAGTGTGGGATTAGCGAGTCCTACTAAAAAAATTGATAGGATTCACTCATTCAAGGAATGATATGCATTTGAGTTGCAATTTTTTGAATTTTATTTGAATTTTGTAGCATTGCTCTTTAATAAAACGGTGATATAGTGCGCGTGATCTCTTTAAAATCAAATAGCACACTAATTTAATTCTAAAAAAAAATTAATTCCTATAATACCAAAGAAATTGAATAGAATACAGAACAAATTCTTGGGAAATATTATTGACGATAGCACTAACTGTTTGGTTGTGGTGGAAACATACTTTTTAGTGACGAAAATTTTTCGGCAACGACAAATTTTGCTGTTGTTGGTAGTGACTTGGTGCTGGTCTAGAATTGCCACTGAAGATCTGGACTTTTTGTGACAACTTTTTTAGCTTGTCGCAATTAATATTTAGTGACACATCTGAAGACATAGTTATGTAGAGGCGAATTTTTTCGATTTTTTATCGCGACTAAAGGTTTTGTTTTATTGTAAAAATGCACAAACACACATAGAAAAAAATACGAAATGTGTAGAAGTGGTGGTTGTCTAAAGACCTAAAAATTGCAGGGATTTCGAAATGTGGGTGTCATAGGGTGTCAAATGTCGATAGGGATTACATAAGACCAAATGTTATAATTTATTGACTAAATTAACATAATTGAAATATAACAGACTAAAATAATACAAAACGTAACCTAAGAACATTTCCAACAATACTATCTAAAATAATTACTCAAAATATATTTAAATATTAGATTATCTACTTTAGCTAACCATTTTTTCAAATTCACTTCAACAACGCTATGTATTTTAGCTAACTACTTTAACTAATTTTAATTAACTTTCAATAATAAAATTCAAAAAATAGCAATTCAACTGTATATTGTACAAATTTAATCAATTATGGGCTACAAGAATAAATATCATAAAAAGTGGGATACAAGAGTAAATATAATAAAAATATTTTGGGGGTTTTGCTAGATTTTTTTTGGGGGTGTTGCTAGAAATTTGACAATGAATCCTCTCAGATTAAACCCACAAATTTGACGATAAAGCCTCTCAGATCAAAACCCTCTCAGATCAAACCCTCTGAAACCCAAAAGTAGAGAACCATGAACAACCCATCAACCCAAATCACACTGCACGAAACAAAGTTGAAATTATCTTGGAAGATAATTATCTATTTATCGAATCCAATGTCCCCAACAAATCAATTTGAACAGAAAATACACAGATAAACTACAAATGGATCGATTCTCACGAAACCCAAAACTTAAAACGCAACATGATAACATAAAGAAACCCAAATGAAATCAGAGTTAGAGAGTTGTATCGTCTTTCCCATTTTGAGAGAGAGAGAGAGAGAGAAAGAGACCATACCGGTGGAGCCTTCAGTCGATGGAGCCTTGTGCAATAAAGCTTCAATCGGTGGAGATTCAGTGAACTTCGGGTGTTGTGGAGCTTCTATGCTTTGGAGCTTCAATGTGTGTGTGTGTGAGAGAGAGTGGAGAGGAAATTAACGCCAGAGAGAGAGAAGGGGGCTAGCTACAACCAACGAGTGAAAAGAAGGTTATGGGAAATAAATAGTAGAATAGCTAGTCTGTTGGAACCAGATTTTAGAGGGAAACTATCTAAAATAACTATTCAGGGCTCTCTAACGAACTTGTTGGACTTGCTCTAAGATACCTCGGTATAATTGCAATAGTGGCATTTATTTAATTTTTTTTTTTATCATTTGTTGGGTTTCTCATGAAGAACAATCGATTTTGATGTTCAAGTGCAAGTAGAATGTTTAGAAATCCATGAGAATTCAGAGATAAGGTGCTGAGGATCAGCCATGCGTAGAATATATAAAAAAAAAAAAAAAGACAAATAGTTGTGAAATGTAGCTTAAGTGATAATAGGGACGAACTGACGTATTAAATTTAAATCTTTGTAATTATTGAGAGTAGACTATGAAAAATTTATATCTCATAAACATCCTAATATTGGCATAGATGACGTGTCTTTGATCAAACTGAAAAAGAGATCAATCGAGATACGCATAAACCGATCCGAACACTCCTAAACGTTTAAACGAAAAAATAAAAATGGACAAACGTAGAGGACAGTCCCGCCATTCTTGACGACCATTTTGATCATAATTTTGTTGTGATTCTAAACGGTGATCTTATGATACTTTTTTCATGTGTCTCTTCTTTGCTGAAATTCCCAGAAAATAGCATCCCATAAAAGAAAAGAAAATACCAGAAACATGCCTAATTTACCCACTTTTGAGGTTTCATGGAAAAAGAAAAAACGAATCTGGCCCTAATGTTATTGAGATATAATTTGGAGTCATAATTTGAAAATATAAGGATTATGACGATTGCATTGTGAGTGAATACCTACATTAAATATCAATGATTTAAGTCTCAAAAATAGAAAGAGCAATACTATTCAGATCCATTTGAGAACCTAACCAATTGAAACTCTTAGATTGAAAGAGCTCCAAGTGAAATTGACTAGATTTTCACTAAAAAATGAAGAGGACGTTTAGGACGATGGATATTGATGGCCGTAAGTCAGAACTAGAATATAAATAGTGCAGCAGTCACTCAATAATAGAGGTGGCTATTATCATCATGCTACATCGTATGAGCATGATAAAAAGCAAGTTGGTGGCTCCGTACCAGAGAATTAGAGATTATTAGAAGGTCAGAAAAAGATTGATTTAAAAAAAAACTATTAGGAATATCAAGTTTAAAACTCATAATTAATCTAATGATCGTAATGAATTAGATTTTTGATTATGTCACAATAATATTAGTCTAGAAGGTGCTCTTAGAAAACTAGTATTCTATGTATGTGTTGCTTACGGTTCAAAAAAAAAATAAAATGTATATGTTGTGTGTGTGTGTGTGTGTGAGTGAGTGAGGGTTTGAGTATCCTAGACTCCTAGTAGCAAGATCAATTCAGAAACCTCGCACTGACAGGTCATCGATGTGCTTAAAGCTCAGCGGGCTTACAGTATTTGTAGTCTTTTTTACCAAGGAATGATATTTATATATATATGCATATATATATATATATAAAGGGCGGTCGAGAATTTGAGATTGGTCACATATATACAATCTTATCTTACATGCAGAGAGACGGGACAGAAAGACAGTTTTTGCGACTCAAATTCTTGATTAACAATAAACAAAGCATATCACTGCATCAAAGACCGCCTTAAATGTGTGTGTGTATATATATGGGAGTCCTATATATAACGGTCTGGCTTGGTAATGTGGACTTCGCGTCGGATTCACGTACCTCCAGCAGGATTTGCCTGGCTCAGGGTTTGTGCTTCCACGTCTGTATTAATCTCTCTCTCCTCTTTTTTCTTTCTCTGTAAATTCTCTCTCTCTCTCTCTCTCTCTCTCTCTCTCTCTCTCTCTCAGTGAAGAATCAAGCTTAATGGAAGGTGATCATGACAACACTCACTCACTCTCTCTCTGTCTCACACACACACACACACGCACATTCTAACTTTCTGTTACACGGGACGAACTTTGGTTAATGGAAGCTGATCATGACTTCATGAGTTGAAATTCTCTGTGAAACAGGTAGGGACCTCCTGGCTCCAGCAGCAGCACATGGAACATATTCCTCTGTCACATAGATCCACTGTCTAAGTGTCTTTTACACATATGTATGTTCATATATACATATATATGTGTGTGTGTTTGTGTGTCTATATATCTCCAAAAACATTGGATTGTGCTGCAGATAGATTTCAAGATTCCTGAAGAGAGAGAGGAATTGATTCTGATTCTCTGTCTCAATCGTACTTGCTATTTATACTTTGATTCAGATCAGTCATAGTACTCTTGGATTGTCACTCCATTGCCTTGAAGCCAGAGGGTGCTGCTCAGTTATACCCCAACTGAAATTTTGGTATGGTGGCTTTACAACTCTCCTATCAGTTTTATGAACTTAACATTTCATGATCATTTAGTTTTTATCTACGACTTTAGTGATCTTTCGATTTTCGTCATCCGGTGTCGTTGTACATAATTAATCACAAACTATACTTACATATCTGTTAGACTTGGGTTTTATGCAATCAAGAAACTCGAATTCAAGACATGTCCATGTAACTCCTACTTCGCGACATATGCATATGTGAAAAGAAAGTCGTTTTAATTTGAAGTAATATTACTTGAACTCAAATTTGTTTATTTATTTGGTTACTTAAACCATTGGATTGAACATTGATTCCAAGGTTGGAAATTGGGCAGTTCCTCTGCCTAGCATGTTGCGATCAGATCGTGACTATTGAGTCCCTGTTAATTCAATAACTACAATAAATTAAGTCAATAAATTAGATTCAATTAGCTTTGTGTCGCTTGCCTATTTTTTAGTTTTTTTTTTTGAAGTCAAGTCTGTTCATACTATGTGCAAACTGCAAAAATACAACCACCCAAATTGTCAAAATTTAGAACTGCAAAGAAGAGCAATTCTAGAAATCTGCAAGCTAAAGTGCTGGAATAAAAAAGAAGCCACTCTGTTACAAACACTGATGATTGAGCAAAACATCAATCAGATTAACCTCTAGACCATAATCATTATTACTAATTGAGCAAACAAAAACTTCAAAAGATGAGAAATTATATCCACCATTTAAGCAACCAGTGGAGTGGATTTGCCGGAGCTGCAGAATATGGAGATCCTAGGGTGTGCTTATAATCCTTTTTAAAAGGGTTGCTGCATATTTAGAGTAATTCCTCAACACCCTTTCATTTCTGCAAGGTAGAGTTTAACAACAATTGCTCGATATACCCTTCCATTGCACTCTTGCATTTTGGAGTAACTGAGGCCAAGTTAAAGAAGACCAACATTTACCAAATTTTGTAGAACCGTAGTCCAGAATATCACCTGTATAGACATTCAACAAAAATGGTATGTGGTTTTCCTCTACATTAATGTAGAAGACATAGTATGTCACCATTTGTTGCAAATAATTCTTCATATGATCATTATTGCTAAGCCCCTCTCTCATGCCTAGTCATAATATAATCAGATGAGTTTATACCACGTGAATATCTTGCGCGGGACCTGTATAAACTGCCCCAAGCTAAATGTGAAGAATACCCCCATTTGTTGTAAAGCCATTTCATCTTGTCAGCTAAATGGTGGTTAGGCATGAATGGGGCCATTGAGTTCGGAATGTCCATGAATTCACTAGAATGGTTTGAGGGCCAATTCCATGTAGAGACATGAACAGTTTGCTTGCTCAACCTTAGTATTAACATAGAGGCTGAATTCTAAGTCGTCCTTGAGGATGCCAATTATCATGCCACAAGTTTGATGACTTATCGTCCCCTATAATACGTTTACTACAAGGTCTTGTTGTATCTCTAAGCTTAAGAAGCTTCCTCCAATTACATGGTCCTACTTGGGGGTGGTCTGGGGTCCTTTTAGGTGTTGAAGTTTTGACTTGAGGGTGTTAAAGCCAATGCAAGCTGATAAAACATTGTAAAATGCACCATTTCAATAATGACAACATAATTCTTTAAGACAAGATAAAGCTTACATAATAACGACACCATTGCATGTGATAGATGTTAGACAAGATATGAATGATCTCGTGGCTAAATTATGTGGGTTTTTTTTCGAAATTTCATGGTCTTGACATACAAATAATATGGCTTGCTGGCCTATGCATAGCAGAAAGATTGTTCAGACTGATCTATTTTGGTCGTTGGAATTTGAAGTTGAGAGTTCTAATCTTCTCTGTTTAGCTCTTCAGGCCGTTCTTTAACCATGAATGCTCTAGTCGCAACCAATAGAAATTTTAAGCTAGCAGCTCGGCTATTGGGTTTGGACTCAAAGCTTGAAAAGAGTTTACTCATCCCATTTAGGGAAATCAAGGTTTGTTATTGTTCCTTCTCTTCTTTATATTTGTCTTATTACTGATTTATATATTTCCTTTTATTGTTAATTAATGAACTAGTTGATTGGTCAGTCACCAGTAATTTCTGTATTACAGTAATCTGTCGACATCTCGTGTCTTATATTCTCTTTTGCTTTATCTGTATGTTCTCTATGTTACATCCTAACGATTGTTTGTTGGATGCGGAGTTTGAACTCTTTTTTTTGTCAGATACACATTTTAAATCTCTGATAACATGTATCAACCTATATGTATTCACAGACTTGCATTTTGTGATATATTACATGTGGTTTCTTTTGCTGTGAATATTATTTTTACACAAGTCATCCTTTCATTTAACTCTGCTCTCTTCGCTGCTTTTGAACATAAATCACAGGTTGAGTGCACTATACCAAAAGATGATGGCACTTTGGCTAGTTTTGTCGGGTTTAGGGTTCAGCATGACAACGCCAGAGGCCCCATGAAGGGAGGAATCAGATATCACCCAGAGGTTGCTTACATAATGCCTGAAATCTGTACAAACACTGGAAAATAAACTTTATAAGTTGAATATGTTCTTAGAATTAGGACTCTGTCCCTTATTTTAGTTTTTTTTTTCTGTTCTGATCTGATATTTACTTGTAGCATTGAGGCCTGTTTTCGATTTCAGTTAAAACAGTTTCATGGATAATGTAGGTTGATCCAGATGAAGTGAATGCCCTAGCTCAACTGATGACATGGAAGGCATCAGTAGCCAACATACCTTATGGTGGGGCTAAAGGAGGAATAGGCTGCAATCCAGGGGAATTGAGCATCACTGAGCTCGAACGACTAACCAGAGTTTTCACCCAAAAGATACATGATCTAATTGGTGTCCATACAGACGTTCCAGCCCCTGACATGGGTACAAATCCACAGGTTTGAAAAATTTTATCTTGATTTACAGGACTTGTTTGAATATAGGCTCTACTGTGTAGCTTATTAAGAAGAAAATGGCTTCAAAGAAGTTCTATATTTGACAGACAATGGCATGGATACTGGATGAGTACTCAAAATTTCATGGCCACTCACCTGCTGTGGTAACTGGAAAACCTATTGTAAGTACAAATGATGGAACTAGCTCTGAATTGTCATTACTTGCAATAAACATAGATTTATATTGCAATACTGGTCTTAATGTTACTTACTTGAGTAATGCATACACTACCTTGTTTCATGGCAATGGAAGGGTGTGAATATGTGAATTTGGAGAAGCACGAGAAATTGTTATGGATTCAACCAATAAAAGGTCAAGCTTATGGCTTACAGGGCATGCAAATATGTAAAGGTCTAATATAAATATTAAATGTGTAACTTTGGGCAAAGTTAGTTATATATTGTATATGGGCTTTGCAGGTTTGGGATAAAAAGCGTGTTAAAGGTGTAGATTTGGACAAACAGGATAAATTTTTATGTTGGTTTATCTGGCAATGGTGAACTTATGTAGCTGCCACAATTTGTGCTAAATTTGTATGTCGTCTTTTTGCTCTTTGAAAAATTGATATGAAAGTTATGATTGATCCTTTAGGGGTGCATATTTGTATTTGTATGTTATACAAATTAAGTCAAATGTTTAATTTTGAGTATAAAATTTCATTTTTTTATACTTTTGATTATTGTAGAGAGCTAAAAATTTATTCAATCTCCTAAGGCACTGTGTAATAGATTTGAGTTGTATTTTGTTAAATAAAGGTTTGATTATTTAAGTTGTGTATGAAAATTTTTTTTTTTTTTTTTTTTTTTTTGGTCAAAAGACTACAATTGTTTAGGAGTTATGTTTCTAGAGAAAATTGTTTAAAAATTTTAAAAATAATAGTTGACTTATATTGATTGGCTTTTTTTTTTTTCTAGTTTTTTACTTGACGAGCATGTGTTATGTTGGGCACATATGATTAGTGATTTTTTTTCTCAATTGTTTGATTGATGATTTTTTGTGTTATATAGTGTTTTCAAGCTTGAACACAATTGTTTGTGATGTTTTTATTTGTTACATACATAATGCCTTCAGGTTCCGACAATTACTAGTAAATTTATATTGCAATACTTGTCTTAAAGTTACTTATTCGAGTAATGCATACACTTACTTGTTCATTGGCAATGGAAGTTCAATCTTGAATAGCTTTTTTCCCGAAAACTGAGCACCACCATGGTTTGTTCCGATTGCTGTAACTTGAGACACTCAAATTCTCTACATCAGGACCTTGGTGGATCCCTAGGAAGAGATGCTGCTACAGGAAGAGGAGTACTCTTTGGGACAGAAGCCCTGCTTAATGAGTATGGAAAGAGCATTGCTGGACAACGGTTTGTTGTGCAGGTGAATCATATTATATAACTAATCACATCACATTTGAGTACACAAAATGAAGTAAATTGATTGTTTTTTGGCAAACAATAATAGGCAGAAGAGTGTCTGACAGATTAAGAGTGCATTTGTTATCAATTTGTATCAAGTGTCTTATGGCAGTGTTTCTAAGAGTACATTTGTTATCAATTTGCATCAAGTGTCTTATGACGGTGTTTCTTACTTACAGGGATTTGGGAATGTTGGTTCCTGGGCTGCTCAGCTAATAAGTGAAAATGGTGGGAAGATTGTTGCAGTGAGTGACATAACTGGAGCAATAAAGAACAGTAAAGGAATTAACATTCCAAGCTTAATCAATCATGCCAAAGAAAATGGTGGGATCAAAGGTTTCAATGGTGGGAATGCAATAGATCCTAACTCGATACTCGTTGAGGACTGTGACATTTTAATTCCAGCAGCCCTTGGGGGTGTTATCAACAGGTTCTTTCTGTAAAATCTGCATCATGAATTCAGTTCATGTCCTGGTTGTGCTTTTCTAACCGTTATCATGGTGTTCCTCTTGCTCTGATTCAAGGGAAAATGCAAATGATATCAAAGCCAAGTTTATTGTTGAGGGAGCCAACCATCCAACTGATCCAGAGGCTGATGAGGTTAATGTCATGTTTTAAATCTAGAGTAACAGGGCATTATAACTACACTTGTATAACTATTATCTTCTTCCTCTGCAGATTTTATCAAATAAGGGTGTTGTCATCCTTCCAGACATATATGCAAACTCGGGTGGCGTTACTGTTAGTTATTTTGAATGGGTTCAGGTATCACATTTCTCTCTTCATTTGATCTGGCATGTTGCGGCGAAATAGTTTTTTAGCTTGTTGGGTAAGTCTACTTACATCTGACATTCTCCAAACCCCATAGTGACAAAAACCTCGTGTATTAGGGTGTCTTGGACTGCCTTTTTTATGCCAGCATAGTTTTTAATCTATCTGACCATTTTGTGTCCCGTAGAACATCCAAGGCTTTATGTGGGAGGAGGACAAAGTGAAAGCTGAGCTGAAAAACTACATGACTAAAGGTTTCAAAAATGTCAAGGAAATGTGCAAAACCCACAACTGTGATCTCCGAATGGGAGCCTTCACCCTCGGAGTTAATCGTGTCGCCCGAGCAACCCTTCTTCGGGGATGGGAAGCCTGAGGCGGCACCTAACTGAATAAGGATTGAGGTTTCCATGAAGCTCAATATTTCTTGTCCATTAGTCTATCTGCATCTATCACAAGAGCTCAGAGAAAGGCTTTACTATTATGTATGATTTTCCTTGGCATTGTTTACGGCTGCACTTTCAAACTTGTGAACTCTGTTTTAAGCTCTCCTTTTTTCAGAGCAGGAGTGCAACTGAAGTTGCATAAGTTTTTTCTTCCATCTAGTTGCTTTTGAGTCACCCCCAAGCCTCCCAAGCAATAAAGATTTTGTGAAGTAGAAAAACAGACCAAGTACTCATTTCGCTACCAACCAAGAGTTAATATATCATAAAACTATTCTAGCTAATCCGAAGCATCTGGTAATGATAGCTTGAGAGGAAAATACCAATACATAGAAGCACAAACTGGTATTCTATCCCCTTCCTCTGCCCCTGAATCCTCCACCACGGCTGCCACCTCTTGAGCCACTTCTGCCACCCCTTGGAGCACCCCTTCCACGAAAGCTACCAAACCCACGCCCACCGCTTCTTCCGCCAGCTCTCGCACCACCTCTACCTCCCCCCGGTCCTCCACCTCGAGCAGCAGCTTGTTGTCCCCTGTAACAATAATAAAACACGACAATTTGATTGAAAACTGCACATACATAAAAGTTAAACTATTATACCTTGGTCTAATAATAATGCCTAAAAATAAGGCATGATCTCGAATAAGCCCATAAAGATATATCATGCAGAAGCTATACAGAGGAGTGGGGGTGGACAGTGGCCATATGGAAGACAGAAAATACATTGATATAGTGGCATATCACTTCACTATTTCCAGTTCCATAAATCAACATAATTACAACTAGGTTCCCCGTTATATGTCACAGTAACCAGCAGAATGGAATTGCAATCCAATATGTGAACATTTCCTACAGGTGAGCTGTGTTACAGAGCTGTGCATAGGGGAATCCCATATTGCTGTGGGTAATCAAATACAGTCAAAACCAAACTTTCTAAGGGTGTGAATTACAGCGAGAGTTGCTAGATGATACGATATAATCAGCTAAAGAAGCACTGAAAAGCATTGCTCTTCACTGAAAAACATAGATCCGTGTCGGTGAAAAAGATTTCTGTTTCAATTTCGAGAATCATTTACCTAAATTTACAAGAATTGAGTTGCGAAAGTAGAAACTCAATACTGTGTGATCAAAGAGATGAATGGTAGCCCAAGCAAGTAAGCCAGAAACAAAGGAAAATATGAGTCAAAGAACAAGCATTGATATATGGAGCGGACTAGCCTGGAAAATGGCACTCTCAGATTCTTCAACTAAGTCGACCACAAAGAAATGCAATCCCTTGTGCACAATTTGAAATATACACAAGAACAGCAAGGCAATCTATTGCTTTTCACCAAGTACAAAGTAAACTATTGGACAAGGAAGAACAAGAATTAAAATTAAAGAGGTAAACATAGAACAGCAAACATACTTTGGCTGTGTAAGAAATCTTTGTAGTGGCAAAAACTTAGCCGGATCAATGAAGAACTTGTCACCCGCCGTATATGAAATTGCCACAATTCCTTCCATCATTTTAATAGAAAAGTACTACAAATAGAGAACCCAAAAAAACAATTTAAAATTATCAGATTGCATAACAAAATAAGCATAATTGGAAACAAAAATGATAAGAATCAGCAGAAGCGAAAGTTTAGGTGGTTCACTCACGGATTCATTGATTGGGCCAAAGATTTCATCAACTTTGCCAATCTGGGTCTTATTATGAAGATAAATTGGACCATTGAAGTATGGTATTTTCTCATTGGTCAGCTTTGTCACTGCATCATCTTCACAAGCATGTAGAAAAGTCGACAGAGGAATCGACACCTGTGCGCGCTGATTTTCGCACAACAATAGGAGTAGGAATAGATATCTCTCTCACGATGAACTGTGGTTCGACAAAACAGTAATTTTGGCGAAATATAAGGTTTACTTTTAGAATCTCTGGTCGCCTCTGGCAGAGTTTCGACCCATCCGAAAGTAGATTTTGGCAATAAGAAGTAGATTGAGAGGGACAAAGGAAAATTGTTTGTTGGATCACCTGACCAGTCTTGAAAGACTATAGGGGGATCCTGAGACAGATAAATAGGTTAGGAGGGTGCTGGAGTGCTCTCCGGTGTATCCCCTCCGATGATCAAATCAGTTCTTTGAAAGAGAGGGGAAGAAGAAAGCACTGTGGTTCTTTTGGGGAGTTTTTGCAATATGTTTTTAAAGACTATTTATACCTTAAAAAGTTCATCATTGCTGATAATATAGCTAGTAGACAATCATTAGAGATGGGGCAGTGTGCCCCCCTTTCCTTTAGTGGGGAATGCGTTCAACCTTAACTGCTCGGGACGCCGAGTAATTGACGCTTTCCCTTCGGCCTGCCGAGTATTCAATGTGCTTCCCTCGGCGAGGGAGCATTAAATGCCCAGGCATGGGAGCATTTAATGTCTTTCACTTCTCGGGCCCCATGCCTTAAATACTGTCTCATCAGGAAGGGGATTCATTAACTAAATACTTGTTCTAGCCATGTGTCAGCAGGGGTACCCAGGTCTTTTTGCTATTGATTTGATGTCAAATTTCATGCATCCACTCCTCCTTGGTTGCGTGTTCTGCATCCCTGCTCCTCCTGACATCATTGAGCAGAGCGTCTTCATGATGATTAGCCTAGCCTACCCTAGGCTAGCCATCAGTCAATCATTATCTTTTGTAGAAGCAGAGAAGAGGTTAGATTCAACCTACAGAAGGAACAACTCGGTATCGAGGAACATTTGTCTACCTCGGGGGTCAAGGTTTTTACCGAACCGAGGACATGTGTTGACCACGTCGCTATGGGGGGATCCTTTGGCTCCGAGCACTGTCTCCTCAACAGAGGGCAGAGAGGGTGAGTGTCGTCGAGGACACGTGGTTATGTCTGGTTGGAATCATAACGATGCCGAAGACACGTGTCTCTGTTCTGTCTTCTCCTAGAAATGTCCCATCAACTACCCTCCAGCCCTTTGATCTTCTGATACAGGGGAGGGGAGACGTGTCGTCAGAAGGTGAAGGGTTACATAAATGCCCCAACCACCTCATCATTGCTCCCAGCCATTTTTTGTCGCTTGGGGGATTGTGCGCATTAAATGCGCCTCTTAGTATTTCGTGCACAATGATGGGGACAGTTACTATATAAATTGGACCCCCCTCTCTTTCCCACACTTTAGTTTATGCGAAGAAATTTTGCCAGAGCTTTTACCGAAAAACTCTTCAAAGAACCAGCTTGCACCACCGCCTTTCCAGCCAACATCGGAGCAAAAACACTTGCGGCACCACTTGCCACCAGACATTCATCGACGAAACGAGTCCTTTTAAGCCTCAAGACCCTTTCCCTAGCTCTCTAGTGAGTCCTTGTTTTCTTTTTCTTCCCTTTCCTTCTTCTTTCTGGTTTTTTCGGTGACCGATGGCCTTCCTGGTCTCCATTAGCCTCTTTAGTGATTTGAAAAAAACTCCTTTGGACCTTTTTAGGAAAGAAACCTCTATTCCTTCGGTAGAGATGCCCAGACATCGCCCTGACACCGAGGCCAAACAGGCTGGTTCGTCAAGGCCAAGGAAATACAAGGTAAAGGGGGACCAGCAGATCAATAACTTTAAAGCCCGATATTGCATACCCAGAAGTATAGGTATAGACAATTTTGACCATGTTCTTCATCACCGTAACCTCGGGACCGAGGATGAGATGCCTTTTTATACAAAGGCTATCATAGAGGGAGGAATTAGGTTTCCTCTGCCTCCTTTACTCCTCCAATTTCTCTCTTGCTTCAATCTCTTCCCTGGGCAGTGTTGCTTGAATTTCTTTAGGATAATAATGGGGGTCCTAAAACTCAATAATCGCCTCGGGGTATACCTCGGTCTTGATGACCTTCTTTTCTGTTATTCCTTGTTGAGGGTAATGTCCCAGCATAACTTTTATCTCAAGGCCAGGGACCCTTCCATGTATTTAGTGACTCATCTTCCCGACTCAGACAAAGGATACAAGACGACCTTCTGGTCTTCAGTGGGGCCTGAGAAAGGGGAACTGGCCCCGAGTACGTCAGTCTAAGGTGTCCTCTGCAATGGAGAACGACAAAGTACGCTGGCCTCTTCTTATATTTCTAGTTTTCATTGTGTTTTCATTGTTCATGAATATCTCACTAAGTCTTAACAACCTCCCCCTTTTTTTGTGCAGACGTCTCTACTCGCGAAGTCGCGCGCTCCTCCTCGGCATTTGGTGAACTTTGTCGATTTAATCATCGTCTGGGAATACGTCGACGACAACGGGTTTGGCCGAGCTGGTCACCTCCCCCTGGGTTACACACCAGAATACAAGAAGTTCTCTCAGCTCCCCCAACCTTTTGACCCTTCAAGGTGGTTCGAGCTCTTTGATCAGACAGAGCAGCAGGAGGTCGAGCAAAACTTAGAGGAAAATCTTGACAAGGCCACCAAGGTAGAGGTAGAGGGCGTCATTGAAGACACTAAAGTCGAGGAACCCAGGGCTAGGGAGGCTTTTGTACCTTAAGACGATGAGGTGGGTCCTTCCAGTAGAGAGGCGTGGCCTGACTTCAACATCCTCCAATCCTTGGATGCTGAGTACGCCCTGGAGGTAGCCATGTTGCTCCAACCTCGAATCGATCTGAACTTCCTGAGGTAGAGACAGTCTCTCGCTACTGCGAGAGGTAGAGGTTCGACAAGCAACACGCCCCCCACCTTTAGGAGCCAACACCAACATTCCCCCTTTAGCACCAAAGCCCGCCGGTCGGGGCTAGGTGCATGATCGGGATCCTCTTGTTGAGGAAGAGAGAAGAACAAAACAAAGGCATGACGACCTTGGCAGAGGCACCAGGGCCTCCTCCACTTAGCAACAAGGCGGTAGGGGCCGGGGGAGGGGCCCCTCATCAGCAACAAACTCTACCTCCCCCGCCTCGGACAGAGGTTACGACAGAGTGGAATCCCCGGGCCCTCGATCACATGAGTAGGGTGATCCGAGTCGATGATTCCATTTTACAGGACCCCCATGTCGCTTATAGAGTGAGTAAGACACTTCACTTTGGGGTCGACATGGAGGCTCATCGGGAGCGAACAACGAACTCGTTCCGCTCAATCATTCAGAACTCCTTGGTGGTGAGTTTCACTTCTGTTTGGTCCTCCCTTATTCTATCAACTGTGATTTAACCAAGTTATTTTCCTCGCAGGCTGCCCAATAGATCTCGGTGATCGCTACTTGCTATCATGAAGCCAGGCAGAATCTTCAGTTAGTCGAGGAGGAGAAGGAAAAGGTTGAAGGGGCCCTACTACCACTAAGGAGGACGTGGCTGCCAGGGACATCATCCTGGCGGCCCAGACAGTCCGGATTGAGCAACTGCTCAAGGACGGCGAATCAACAAGGGTCGGCGCTGAAAAGTTAAGTGCTACCCTGGCCGATGCTGAGAGGAGGATTATGGAGCAGATGCAGCGGCTATCCTCGGCTGAAACAAGAGCCATCGGATCGGAGGAGAACTGCCTAGCCCTTACTCAGGAGCTCGACAGGGTCAGGGTTGAAACGGAGAACAATAGGAGGTCGGAGGAACAGATCCGAGAGAAATTCGTCGATGATATGTTGCCTACCCTTGAGGAGAACAACAAGGAGTTCTTCAAAAAGGGCTGGGATGAGGCGCTCCGAGTAGCTGAGGTTCCTTCAGACTCTCCCCTCTTCCAAATGCACATCTACGTGCCCTTGGCGAAGATGGTGCAGGCTGGGGGCGAGGTTACTGTTGAGGAAGCGGGCCCAGTCCTAGTGCCAGCCTCAGTAGAGCCTTCTGAACTGGTCATCCTAGTTCCATCTGATGATGTCCTGCTAGAGTCAGGCCCCTCCGCCCCCGAATCAAGCCCTCCTCCAGTCCCGCTTGTTGCTATTTTGGTCCATGTTTCGTCCGTTCTAGAAGTTGCTAATCCCTTCAACATCGACTCCCCCTGTAGCAACGTAGTAGAGATGTCGGGAACGAGATGATTGGTTCTCCAACTTTTGGATTTTTGCTTTTGAACTTGTGTTACATATATATATATTTTTTTTGTAGCTCTCGGGGACGCAAAACCCCGTTTCTCTTTGTAATGGAAGAATCCTCTTTTGTTACTTTGTATTATATATATATTTTTATATTTATATTTATATTTATTATTATTTTTAATTTTTGAAACACTTTGATGCCTTAGAAACAAGTAAGGATAACTGGATGTCTTCCATAATTCCAACGCCGAGGGAGGACTCAGCTGATTCTCCCCGATTGGTTCAGCTTCATCATTTTTAGGGGGCGCGCCTCGAAGTGGTTGACACCGAGATCAGGGTGTTCATTCGCTTCATTGTTCTTTTAGGTTCGGGGTGACCCTCAAGATTCCACCCATGGGACATGCCCTTTCTAGGAGGCTTGCTCCTGATTTTTATTCGAAGGCAGGAGTCTCTAGGACTTCGCCTCTAGGGCCTTGCCCTTTTGAAATAGTCAATCATAAGTGTGGAGAGGGGGAATGCTCAAAAATAATATTTCTTCAGATTTATTATATTTCAAGGCCGTGTTATAGATTTTTCCCCCCATATCTTCTAGTCTATACTATCCGGAGCCTCCTATCGACACCACTTTGTAGGGTCCTTCCCAGTTGGACCCCATCTTCCCATCGACTAGGTCCCGTGTATTGGCCACCACCCTTCTGAGCACCAGGTCGTCGATCTGAAATCCTCTAGTCTTGACTTTTTTGTTGTGAAGT